GCTGCCAAGGCCGTGAGCAAGGTCATCCCTCAGCTGAATGGGAAGCTCACTGGCATGGCCTTCCGTGTCCCCTCTGCCAATGTGTCAGTTGTAGATCTAACCTGCCATCTGGAGAAGGCTGCCAAATATGAAGACATCAAGAAGGTGGTGAAGAAGGCATCAGAGGGCCCCCTGAAGGGCATCCTGGGCTACACTGAGGACCAGGTTGTCTCCACCGACTTCAACAGTGACGCACACTCTTCCACCTTCGACGCTGAGGCTGGCATTGCCCTCAATGACCACTTTGTCAAGCTCATTTCCTGGTATGACAATGAGTATGGCTACAGCAACAGAGTGGTGGACCTTATGGTTCACATGGCCTCCAGGTAGTAAGAACTCCCAGGACCACCAGCCTCAGCAAGAACACAAGAGGAAGAGAGAAGCCCTCAGCTGCTGGGGGGTCCCTGTCCCAACTCAGTCCCCCAACACACTGAGAATGTCCCCTCCTTGGCAGTTTCCATCCCAGACCCCCTAAAGAAGGGGTGGGGCCTAGGGAGCCCTACCTTGTCATGTACCATCAATAAAAGTCCCTTGTACAGAGCCAAGAAAAAAAAAAAAAAGAAGAAGACTGAGAAGGAATGGTCAGTAAACTGTGAGGAAAACCAGGAGAGAATGGTATCTTGATATGAGAAAGGAGGAGCAAGTTTCATGCAAGATGTAGTGTAGGGGAAGAGATAGTGAGCAAGCAAGTGGAGACTATGATTTGGGATGTTTGGATAAAGAGGTAGAAACCATGAGTTTGTAGTAGGTGCTGCCTAAATTTGCCAGTTTCAGATGCTAAAACTTTTGAGTTGAAAGGACTGTGTTCAAATCACTTTGTTTCATCACGTGTTAATAATATAACAACAAAACAGGGCTGACAACTGTCCCAAAGGAGAGCTGGGAGAATTAAATAAGTCACTGTTGTTATCCTCAGTCTTCATTTCACCTTGGATGGTTAAAAATCAGTGTGTAGAGAGGGATAAATATTTATCCAACTAAAGTAATGGCTTGAGGAGTTCAATCTGGGTATCATGAAATTCTGATTAATGGGTTCTTTTGCATAGGATGAAGTTTTGCCCTCCCAATTCTTTATTCAGGAATAAATGCCGTTTTTTCATCTCATAGATATTTATTGTACTTCTCTTATGTGCAGGCACTAAACTAGTTGTTGAGGGTACAGTGATGATTCAAACATTGTTTCTACTTTCAACAGTCTTATGATCTAGTGAGGTAATGGAGATAATAAGAAGACAATTATTCTAAGATATGGCAGAAGTAAGAGGGAGAGATGCACACAGAGCAGAGGAGAGGCAGTGGGGAGTAGGAGTGAAGTTCAAGAAAGGCTCCGGGTAGGGAGAGTAGAGGCAGGCATGTCTTAGGCTTCTGTGTGGGTGGCTGTGTTTGTGGTGTCACACTTGAGAGAGCATGGGGGAAGATGATGAGTTTTTCATTTGGTTTTCTCCTAACACAATCAACTAATTTATCAGATATTTCCTTTTTTTTTTT